TGAGTGTAAACAGTTATGCCTACTGGAATTTTGTATGTTTTTTGGCATGGTTTGTCTTTGCTTCATCCTTAACATTCTTTCTTACAGGCCCCTAAGTTTTACTCTTGACTTATCCACGGGTCAGATTCTGCTCCCAAAACCTGTCCTTGACATATACATGAGGTTGACTTATACTCGAATACATACGGTACTTAACATGGCAAGTAATTTTGAGAGGAAGAGGCAGATCCTGTGGCCAAGGAAAGCACTAGATTCAGCTCTGTCCCTTCCATCTAGACTGAGGAAACCTTGGTACTTCTGATATTCTGGACAACTGCCCTCACAATCCTTTACCACCAGGCATGTATGGTGGAATTTCTGGAAGCTGAAGTTCAAAACATCCTTCCTCATTCCTGCCTTATTTAATGCCATCAAAATTTACCTGATCCCTACTCTGTGATCAAGATAAGAAATATGTCAAAAAACAATTAACTTCCATAAAAAGGAAAAGTAAAACCACTGCCTATTATGCCATGCCAGGAACCCCATAACCAACCTCCTGCCCAATACTAACAGTGTACATTTTTACTCTGCCTCACTCCCCATCACACACCATGTTACTCAGCTATCACTTTGTGTGTGTATGTGCCTTCAAGTAGACTGGCGACTTATGGCACTCCCATGAATTTCCTAGGGTTTTCTTAGGCAAGAAATACTCAGAGGTGGTTTGCCAGTTTCTTCCTCTAAAATATAGCCTAGAGCACCAAGCATTCCTTGGCAGCCTCCCATTCAAGCCCTAACCAGGGCTGGCCCTGCTTAGTTTCCAATATCAGATGGGATCTGATGCCTTTAGGGTATTTAGTTCTCCTCATAATCACTTTACCTCACCCTATAAGTCCCCCAGTTCTAATGCATCATACCCTTTCTGTATAACCCACTTTGGGCCTAAGCAGACTGCCAGAAATAGTGCACATTAAATTGAGGCACTGCCCTGGCTCAGTGCTAGGGAATCATGGGAACTGTAATTTATTGTGGCTCAATGTCCCACAGCAGAAATACAATTCCCATCACTCCCTAGCACTGAGTCAGGGCAGTGCCTCAATTTAATGTGCACTATTTGTGGCAGTCTGCTTAGGCCTTTTGTTTGCATCATTTCTAGAGCAGTTTCAGGTTCTGTTGCTCTTGAACCTGGTGCAATGAGCCCACATGATATACAGACAGTTCTGCAGCAAAACCACTTCATTTAGCCTTAATTTGGCTGACTCCTGTGCATTCTGTGTAGAGAAACCCAATAAGGAGGCATGGATTTGCTGCGGGTCTATGCTGAGCATGCATTCCTCCTTATGTGTTGCATGTTCCCCCCTTGGTTATGGTTGAAGTGTTTAATGAATAGACTGCTATCTGTGGATAAAAAAATCTGTGGATATGGAGGAGTGACTGTGTATATGTGTGTGTGTATGTGTGTAATGAGTTCAGAGCTGAAGGCAGGCCTTCTGGGTATGATTGTGTGCATGTTTTCTGGGTCTATGATGCTAGAAGAGCCAGTATGACGTAGTGGTTTAAGTGTTGGACTACAACTCTGGAAACCAGAGTTCGATTCCCAGCTTGGCCATGAAACCCACTGGGTGAACCTTGGGCAAGTCACACTCTCTCAGCTTCAGGGGAAGGCAATGGCAAACCTCCCCGAACAAATCTTCTCAAGAAAACCCCATGACAGATTCACATTAGGGTCACTGTAAGTCAGAAAGAATTTGAAGGCACACAATGACAACTCTGTATAGTCCAGTGCCCAAACCACTACACCATACTGGCTCTTTTAGCATCACAGACCCAGAAAAAAATGAACCCAATCATGCCCAGAAGGCCTGGCCCCAGTTCTGAACTCACATATATACAGGGCCCTTGGTATCTGCTGGGGTTTGGTTCCAGGAGACCCTCCGTGGATACCAAAATCTGTGGATGCTCAAGTCCCATTAAATACAATGGCATAGTAAAATGGTGTCTCTTAAATAAAATGGCAAGATCAAGATTTGCATTTGAAAATTTACATATTTTTGAATATTTTCAAGCCTGGATGCTTGAATCCATGGATAAAGAATCCATGGCTATGGAGGGCTGACTGTGTGAGTGTGTGTGTGTGCTATATATATATATATATATATATATATATATATATATATACACACACACACACACACACATATATATATATATATATACACACACACAACTATGTGTGTGTGTCTATCTATCTATCTATCTATCTATGCCAGTTAAGTTTAGGAGTCAGCATCCCATCCATTAACCACTCCAGCTACAAACCAAGGGGGGAACATGCTGCACATAACCCAGGAGGAATACACACTCAGCACAGATCTGCAGCTAATCCATGCCTGCTTGGTTGCATCCACACTGCATAAATAATCCAGATTGACACCACTTTTAACTGCCAGGGCTCAATGCTATAGAGTTCTGGGAAAGCATAGTTTTGTGAGACATTTAGCCTCCTCTGTCAGAGTGAGCTCTGTTGCCACAACAAACTACAATTCCCAAAATTTTACAGCACTGAGTCATGGAAGTTAAAAGTGCTGTCAAACTGGATTATTTCTGCAGTGCAGATGCAGCCCTTACTGAGTTTCTCTGCACAGAAAGCACAGCAGCCAGTGTGCTGTAGAGGTTTGAGTGTTGGACTACGACTCTGGAGACCAGGGTTCGGATCCCTGCTCGGCCGTGGAACCCCACTGGGTGACCTTGGGCGAGTCACACTCTCTCAGCCTCAGGGGAAGGCAAGGGTAAACCACCTCTGGAGAAACTTGCCAAGAAAACCCCAAGATAGGGTCGTCGTAAGAGGGAAACGACTTGAAGGCACACAACAACACAGAATGCACACTTGTAAACACGTGTTCACAGCATTCGCACGTTACGCTTCAGGTACAGCCACGCAAGGCCTCCCGTACTGAAAGATTAAAGGGCTTGGAAGCCTCAGCTATCTGGGTTAGGAGACCCTAGGCGTGTGAACCGGGAGAGGTCTGTCTATATGCAGTCCACACCTCCCTGGGAACCGCTTTCGTATCGCGTCCCCGCAGAGTCCCGCGTACCTGTGGCTGGACCAGGCCAGCAAGGGCACCTGCCCGCTCTGCGCCGCCGCCAGCGCCAGGCCCAGCAGCAGAAGCCCGGCCGCCTCCCGCAACGCCATCTTCCTCTCCTCTCTGGCCCTTTCGCCCAACGCTCCCTGCTCCTGCGTTCCCGGCGCGCCATAGCCAATCAGAAGGCGAAGTGCGCTGAGGATTCCAGAGGGCCCGGAGGCGGCAGCCAATTAGGACGCGGAGTAGGATCAGCCACAGCCAATAGGAACCCTCTTCCTATGGAACCCTCTTCCTCTCTATGCTCTGACTTCCTTCTCTGGAGGAGGTTTTGCAAATCAGCTGACCTTCCAAAGCCAAGGGCGCTTGGATTGTCTGGCTGCATCCGCACCGCAGAAATAATCCGGTTTGACACCGCTTTAACTGCCATGGCTCAGTGCTAGGGAATTCAGGGAACTGTAGTTTTGTGAGACATTTGGCCTTCTCTGGCTGCATCCACACTGCAGAAATAAACCGGTTTGACACCGCTTTAACTGCCATGGCTCCGTCCTAGGGAATCCTGGGATTTGTAGTTTGTTGTAGCACCTGACAGAGAAGGCTAAGTACTGGTATCTCACAAAAGTACAAATCCCAGAATTTAATAGGATGGAGCCATGACAATTAAAGTGGTGTCAAACTGTTTTATTTCTGCAGTGCAGATGCAGCACAGTGTGATCTGGTGTGTGTGATCCTCCTGTTGTTTTTGGACTAGAATTCCCATCATCCCTCCTCCTTCACTGTGTGAGTTTGGGCTCATGGGAGCTGCAGTCCAGCACTGGAGAGCCACATATTCAACCCACCTGAAGTTTCAACAGGAAAATATTCAGTAGTTAGCCAGAAGAAAAAGGATGTGAGATACCTGCTTCCTTCACTTCCATGCTGTTGCTGTAACCCTCCGACTCACAGCAACCTTCTCATATGTTTTTCTTGGCCAGATTTAATCAGAGGAAATTTGTGCACTGTTTTCCTCTGAGGCTGAGAGAGTGTGACTTGCAGAACTAATGCAGTTTGACTCTGCTTTAACTGGTATGGCTCCATCCTGTGGAATCCTATACTTTGTTGTAACACCAGACCTCTCTTGACAGAGAATGCTAAATATCACACAAAACTACAAGCCCCAGTATTCCATAGCATTCAGGCATGGCAGTTAAAGTGGTGTCAAACTGCATTAATTTTGCTGTATAGATGCAGCTTTGCCCATCCACTGAGTTTCCATGGCTGAGGGGGGATTCAAACGCTTGTCTCACAGGCTGCATCCACACTAGAGAACCCAGTTTGGTACCAGTTTAATTGCCCTGGCTCAAAGCTATGGAATTCTGGGAATTGGAATTTGGCCCCACAACAAACTCCAATTCCCAGAATTCCATATTGAGCCAGGGCAATTAAACTGGTGCCAAACTGGGTTATTTCTCCAGTGTGGATGCAGCCCCAGAGTACTACCTCAGCACTCAAACCAGTCCATGCTTCCTCCTCCTTCACTTCCATATAGGTTTTCTTTATTCCTTTACTGGCAGAATTTGGAAGTTATGGGACTTTAAGAAGACACTACCTTTCTAGGAAGGGGTTTAAATTTGTAATGCAGAAACTAAAAAACAATGAGTCTTTTCATACACAAAACATTTATTTGTGGTCTGTTATAAGTGTGGGTGGGCAGCAATTTTCAGTACAATTTCTGGGAAATACAATTTGTAAGACTTATTCCAGCACAACACACCATTCTCCCTATAAAAGGTACTCCAGAGGAAGGGAACATCTAGATTTCCAGACATTATTGGATTGCAGCACCCATTAGTTAGTACGGTTTGTAGTGGGGAAACATAGGAAGCGTAGTTCCACAGCATTTTTTACCAATTTATTTTGAGAGCCAGCTCCTAATTTAACATCCCAGTAAATTAAACTGAAATTAATCATTTTTAAAAAGCAGTACAGTGATGATCACCAGAGTTTAGTCATTTCATATCTATTTATATTTCATATCAAATTAATATTTCATGTTAATTTCCAGATGGTTTTGGCTTACAGCTCCCCTCAGTCCTGGCCAGCACAACCAGTGGCGGGGAATTATGGGAGTTCCAGTTCAAAAACATCTGGAGTGCCACAGTGCTGAAACACATAACCAAAAAATGAAACAAAACAAACCCCACAAACTTTAAAAGGACTGTTGCTCTGGCAGAATTGGACTGGCATTAGATGCCTTCCCAAATCCCTATTAGGTTGAAACAAGGAATTCTTCTTTATAGCTCTTTTGAATTGTGCATCAGTGAGCATAGCTCACAATGGGATCAGTTTAATTTACAACTATTTTAAACATGTGTAGTTAGATACATTTAGTGACACAGATGCATGTTTTCCCAGACACTGCTTGATTGCATCTTCCAGAGGATTAACCAGCAAATGCAATGAGGAGGAATGCTGGGAGTTGCAGATTAACAACATCTAGAAGGGCACACAATTCCCATCCTGTGTTTAGCTAGGGTTGGAGCATATCTTTTCCTGTTAAGAATGCTTGATGTTGAAGGACTAGCAAGCCAAATTCAGCCAGTAGACCAGAGGTTCCTAGTTTTTGGTTTCTGTAGTCACTAACAGTTTCCTTTAATTGGTAGTTACTCAGCAGTGAGTTCATTTCTCCCCTGCACAATATTCTTTACTCAAGAGAAATTATGTTTAGAGAACAAGACTGCAACATTCACAAATGAGTTTTGTGTTTGTTTGTTTTTTACTAAAGCTTCTGATGTATTGAAGAGTTGGAAGGGATCTTAGAAATCATCTAGTCTAACCTCTTGCTGAGTGGAGCTGCAGTATCCTTGACATGCAGCTGTCCAGATGTATGTATGTGTGCCTTCAAGTCTCCTGGCAACTTATGGTGATCCCATGAATTTCGTAGGGTTTTCTTAGGCAAGGAATCCTCAGAGGTGATTTTGCCATTCTTCCTCTGAAACATCGTCTACATCACCTGGTAGTCAGCAGTGTCTCACATCCAAATATAACCAGGGCTGACCCTGCCTAGCTTCAAAAATCAGATGGGATCTGGTACACTGAATAGCTCCAGCAAAGGAAAGTTCACCATGGTCTAAAATGGTATGCCTTCAGTATCACACAGCCTTGGAGTTTTTGCACCCCTTCCCCAAATGGGAGGTGCAAAGCATAATGAATAAGTACATTAGAGATTAATTCAGAGCTAAGGGCTTACTGTTGAACCTAAACAAAACAAAAATAATGACACAAAGAACCCACACAATTCAAACTAGACAATGAGGAAACAGAAATAGTAAGGGAGTTCTCATCTCTGGGATCAAACATTGATAGGAACAGGGACGGCATCCAGGAAATCAGAAGAAGATTAAGAATAGGGAGAGAGGCTATTCTAAGATTCTAAAATGCAAAGATATACAACTCAGCACAAAAGTTAGAATCATACAAGCCACTGTATTCCCTTTTACCATGTATGGATGTGAGAGCTAGATAGTTAAGAAAGAAACTAGGAAGAAAATCAATGCATTTGAGATGAGGTGCTGGAGAAGAATACTGAGGATCCCATGGACAGCCAAAAGGACAAACAAACGGGTCCTAGAGCAGATCAAGCCATAAATATTCCTGAAAGTCAAGATGACAAAACTTAGGCTGTTGTACTTTGGACACATCATGAGGACATGAATCATTGGAGAGAACAATAATGCTAGGAAAGGTGGAGGGAAGCAAAAAGAGAGGAAGGCTGCATGCTAAAAGGATGGACTTTATTAAGGAGTTCACGGGTATGGGTTTGCAGGAGCTGGGCAGTGAAGGACAGAGGGGCTTGGAGATTTTTCATCAGCAGGGTCACCATGGGTCAAGATTAACATGAGGGCAGTTAACAACGACAACAAAAAAACAGACTGAGTGGCTGAATGGGAAGAACCAGGAAGCTTTCAGCAAAGAGCATGTCAACTGTTATTTTTACCATAAAACATCACAGACCTATGTTGTTAACTGCTATCAAGTCACCTTTAACTTATGGTGACGTTTATTATCTTAGCTTTTTGGCCCCGGCCCACTCCAAAGGTGGGTGGGAAAGGATGTAAAAAATATACAATCCTATTGCAATATTGTAAATGAAATCCTACTGTGACTCAACCTAGTCATCTCAATCCAAACATTATGGAAGTATAATAAGGAAACACAAACAAAATCTGAGAATTTTCCAAATAACCCTCCTTGAAATACAGTGGCTCCTTGGGATGTGGATACAAAATCAAGGCTGTTCAAGCACCATTATATACAGTGGTGTAGTAAAATGGTGTCCCTTGTATCAAATGGAAAAATAAAGTTCTTCTATCATCACAAAGGCCAGAGGGACAGTGGCCAACCTGACTTGTGTTATCAGAGCCATCTTCCCTCTGCCTCTTAATGCTAGTGATCAAGGCTGTGTGGTAAGGTGCTCAGCTCCTCACAGAGCAGGAATGGGAAATGAGTGACCTTCCATATAGTGCTGGACTGCAGTGTCTGGCTGTTAACCAAGGCTAATGAGAGTAACAATCCTAACCTCTGCTATACAGAGAGGCACAGTTAAGGATGTGTGCCTTGTCTACTTTGTAGGAAAAAAAACCTCCTTGGTTTAATCTGCACTGCAGAA